CTGGGCATGTGAGTGTTAAAGAGGGGAGTACAACAGAGCCTGGCAAGCTCCTGGAACGCCATCTCCTCGAGGGACCACACACCCTCCGTGCTCTGCCGTCAGCACCAGCTGTTTCCCTCCCTTCACCTCTGTCGTGGGCCAGATTGTGCCCCTGAAATTCCCATGTTAAACTCCCCAGGACCTGGGCATGTGAGTGTTAAAGAGGGGAGTACAACACAGTGAGGTCACCGGGGTGGACCCTGATCCATTCGGACCCATGTCCCTGTGAGAGGAGGAGATTAGGGCACATTCGCACAGGGACGGCCATGTGAGGACACAGGAAGGCACCGTCTTCAAGCCCAGGACCAGGGTCCCGCAGGAGCCCACCGCACTGACACCGTGATCTGGAACGGTGCAAGAATAAATGTCGTCCAAGGCACCAGACCTGTGGTACTTTGTTACAGCAGCCCTGGCAGATTACACGGTTCCTATGGGATTTTGTTGTTTGCTTATGCATGTATTTATTTTATTGGAGATGGAGTCTCACTGTGTCGCCCAGGCTGGAGTGCAGTGGCGTGATCTCCACTCACTGCAACCTCCACCTCCTGGTTTCAGGTGATTCTCCTGTCTCAGCCTCCTGAGTAGCTGGGATTATAGGCGCCTGCCACCACCCCCAGCTAAGTTCTGTATTTTTAGTAGAGATAGGGTTTCACCATGTTGGCCAGGCTGGTCTTGAACTGCTGACCTCAGGTGATCCACCTGCCTCAGCCTCCCACAGTGCTGGGATTACAGGCGTGAGCCACTGTACCTGGTCATTCACGTATTTTTTAGGAACTCAGGAATGGGTGGCAGTAACTATGGGTCCAAAGTCACAGACGCTCTGGGGACCAGGAGGGTGGGATTTCAACAGCGGCATCATTAACCCTGAAGCTATGGAGTGGGCAGGCCAGGCCTAGGAACTGGAAGTCCAAAGAAGCCTGGCGAAAGCCACCTGTGGTTCTGAGCTGGGAGGAGGGAGGTGGAGGGACGGGACGCCCCCGGGAGGGGAGTCTGGGGACAGAGTTCCACACCCTCTTTGCTGACTGACTGATGAGGGGTGAGACGGGGCCCAGGCCTCCCACGGCTTGGCTGCTATGGAGCAGTGGTTCTGTTGCTCACCACGGTGACTGCGTCATTCAGCAGCGACTCCCCGAAGACGATGATGAACAGGACCTCGTTGACGTGGACCTCCTCAAACACTGCCAGGACGGCCACCGGGTCCACAGCAGCGATGAGGCTGCCAAAGAGGAGGAAGTCCAGCAGCCCGATCTTCAGGTCGCCTGGAAGACAAGCCGGGCCGTGGGGCAGCTGCAGGACCCGCCACCAGAGAAGGAGGGCCCTGGGGAGAGGCTCGGTCGGGGGTCTGAGCCTGTCTGGCTGGCGCTGGTGGCATGGGGGGCTGGGTCAGCCTCCTGCATCCCTCCCACAGGCCCCAGCGCCCTCCAGGGAAGGCTGGTGTCTTCCTAGGGGGCCCATCCCATCCGAGCAAGATAGACAGACAGACCAACCCTGGCCCTCTCCTTCGTATTTGGGTGGATGGGGGCCTCAGCTGGCACAGCGCAGCCTGAAGAGAATCAAGCCCCTCCCGCTGCAACACCAGGGTTCCCAGCCCAGCAGTGAAGGCGTCTGAGGCAGGTGGGTGCAGGGGGACTGCATGCCGGGGAGGGACGGGGGCCCATCACCTGGAGTGACGTCCCAGGAGGAGCAAGTGGGGCCGACCTAGGACAGGCCTGGAGCTGGGACACACAGCACCGTGGGGCACAGCCAGGGAGGGGCAGGTGGGAGGGCTGTTGGGGGTGTGGGAGAAGACTGTGGGGATGAGCAGGGCTGCGGTGGGAGCAAGGGACCTGAAAGACATGGGTCCATGTGGTCCCCAGCTCCCGGCCGGCTTCCCTCCCTGCATCTGCCTGTGGGCTCTGGTGCACCTGCCTGTGGGCTCTGGTGCCCCTTGCTGGGGAGGTTTTACTGAAATGCAGCCTCATCCTTCACAAGTCTTTGCCATTCAACCCAGGGTTCAGGCCTCATGGAGGCCATGGGGAGGTGCCAGGCTCCAGGGGACCCTCAGGGAACTGAGTGTGGCCGCATGGCCCCGAGAGCCTGCCCTCGTTCACGGCCGCAGGGCTCAGAGGACACTGGGCCTCTCTGCTGCCTTCCCGGCCGTGAGGGTCCAGGGACCAGGAGACGTGAGGGTGTGGGAGAGGCCACCCAGGGAGGGGCTGCCCCCAATGAGCCCCCCGCCCACACACAGCTTCTGCCTCTCTGCTGGGCTGGAGTGGAACCCACCACCCCTCTGGCCTGAGGCTCGGGCTTGTGGGGGGTTTGTCCCTGGAGCCAGACGGGCCCCAGGAGACAGCAGAGAGCAGCCTGACCAGGGGTTTCTTTGCTAGCGCCTGAGTGGGGACAGATTGGGGTCGTCTCTGCGGTGACTAAACCCCGAGTTTGCTGTGAGCTCCTAAGCCCCGGCAGCCTCTGGCCAGCATCACAACACCCCGAGGAGGTGACAGATGCCAGAAGAACCAGCGTTCGGGGAGTTAAAGTCTTCGCGTTGGAATGGGAACCACACAAGCCTTCTCCATCTCCACACTCAGGCCTCAGGATGCGAATCCCCTTCAAGGTCATCTTTAAACTCAGCCTCCTGGCTCTGCCACCCCCAGGGCACTGATGGCCCTGGTGGATGTCCTGGGACTCCAAGCAGGCAGGGGTCCTGGGGTCAGCTGCGTTCAAACTCCCCGGCCAGCAGCCTTCCTGTCTGGGCAGTTGCCCATGTGCTGGCCATGCCAGGAGGGTTCATGCCACCAGACTGTGTGTTCCAGGCCTCTCTCCACCATGTGCTTTGCCTGTGCAAGGGCCTCTGATGCCTGAAGCTCCCGTAGGGCCTGTCCCCATGCTGCCCGGACAGCCCCCAGGCCAGCACTGCCATGTCGACCCTTTCCCGTGGGGCACATCTGGCCTTGAGACGCTCCACAGGGCTTGGTCAGTCGCAGCCTCCCAGCTCTCTAGGACTCCCAGGAATGGGACGGACCTGCCGGCCATGGGCATCTCTGTTCCAGGACCTCAAGCAGCACCCAGCTTTGACCACCTGGGCCCCGAGGCTGAGCGCAGGCCTCCAGCATCCATGTCACCTGGGGAGCGGCCTCCCTCGAGAGGGCACAGCGATGGCCGGGACACGTGTTTCCCACAAGCAGCGCTGTTGGAGGACAGTGGAGCCCAGTGCGGCGAGGGGCAGGGGTGGGCCAGGGCCGACGTCCTGGTGTTTCGAGTCCTCCAGGCTTCATGGTGCGGGCGCAGCAAGGACGTCCTCCTCCAGGCTCGGCCAGTCGCACTGAGGACGTTCTGCTTCGTACAAGGGAAATCCGGCAGTGTCTCTGGCCAGTGCTAGGCAGGAACCATTGGGACCAGCAGCCACGGAGCCATGGAGTGTGCCTGGCTCTCAAAGGAGTGGCCTGACGGCCAGACTGGTCAAAGGCTACTCCGTCCCACACTCAACACGGCTGGGAGGAAGCGCTTGGCTGGGATCTCATGGGCGAGGGGCCATCTGGCAAGGTAGGCATGACCCTCGAGGGGCCGCAGGTCCAGGAGTCTGCTACAACCCCTGAGGCTTTCCCTTGGGTCCGGTGGCAAGGGCGGCTGCTCTGTCTGAGGTGTGTCCTGACACCTATGGCATTGCCCACATGACGGGTGACACCCACAGCGCCGGCCCGAGCCTGCCATCCATGAGCCTGTCTGCGCCCTCGGCAGCTTTCCCTGGGCTGCGCCTGGTGGGTAATGCTGGATGGCAAGGGCTCCAGGGAGGAGTGAGAAGGCCCCAGGGGACCACATGCTGGGTAGGGGCGGCCCCAACCCGGGAGCTCCTCTTTCTCCACTGTGGTCTCAGGTTTCAGCCCCTTGATTCCCATGGAGAGGCCGGGCCATGCTCTCCCTTGAACCAGACGGAAAATTGGCAATTCTTGTGAGTCCGGTTCAGCTGGTGGACGTGTTTGAGGCTGAATTCTCCAGACAGGAGGGGAGGCCAGATGAGGGCAGCAGGTACCGGAGGCCTGTGCTCAGCCGTGGGGCCCAGCTGGTCAAAGCTGTAGCATCTCCGGCAGCAGCGGCGGGCATCAGGGCTGCACCACACCTGGCATATCGGGAGGTTCCAGCCATGCATGATCCGGCTCCAGGGTGGGAGGCGGTGCCTGAGAGACAAAGCACCCAAGACCAAAACCACACAGGCCGCTATGGCTCCAGATATGGCTGCAGCCACATGGGTGCGGTGGTAGCTGAGCGGCTCCGGCACACAGGCTAGGAGGAACGATGCCCGATACACCGGGCTCTGCAGTCCTCCTCGTCTCCCTGGGACCTGGAGGCCGGTGAGTGTGGACGGACCCCGACCTCTGGCCAGTTGAGAGGCAGCCCCCAGCCACCTACAGCCCCCAGACGAGCTGCTGAGATGGGAACGCCTCCCCAAGCAGAAGGTGTGCTGGGGCCTGGGGACGCGCAGGGGACCAGCCTTGGCCACGAGGGCCTATGGGGCTGCCAGTCACATTTCTCACCCGACACTTACCGCCCGGAGGCCTGGGTGCGGCACTCCGACCTCTCTGAGCTGAGTCAGCCCGGCCCCTCCCGGGCCCCACCCTGAGCCCTGGCCGGGGCAGCGGCCGTGCAGACTCACCCATGAGCCCGCTGAGGAACACGCCATAGAGCGACAGGCCGGTGGTGGCCGCGTTCCACACGGTGCCCACGACGGCGTACAGCAGGATGGTGCCCAGGTTGCCAAAGAAGAGTCGGTTGGGCATGAAGTAGCCGGCGTCCAGCACAATGGGAGGCAGCAGGTAGAAGAAGAAGACGGTGGGCGTCAGTGTGAAGGACGCGATGTGGTCGGCCGCCCAGACGATGCCGCCCAGCACCAGGCCCAGCACGATGAGCAGGGCGCTCTCGGGAACCACGCTGGTGACCTTGTGGGACAGGTGGAACCCTGCGGGGGAGGGAGGGAGGTCAGGGCTGGGCTG